TGCTACCTGTTTACTACCTACATTAGTAAACAGTTACTACCTGCAACCGTTACTACCTTTTTGCGACCTCTTTACTACCTACGGTAAACATTTAGTAACTGAAATGAAAGTGGTAGTAACTGCAGCCGTTACTACCTTTTTTGCCCCGTTACTACCTCTTTGCTACCCGGCTTTTGACTATCTATTCCAACATAGTGTGTGAATGCAATTCTGATAATTTATGAGAGGAATCGTCTCGACGTATAATCCTTACCCGGAAAAATGACGCAGAAGCTATCCATAGATCAAGAAAATACATTTTCTTTAAATTACGCAACCGAGATATGTAAACGGCATTATGATATTATCGGAACGAAAAAGTACAAGTTAACGAGCCATAGGCAAATGCTACACGTCTCGTAATAGACAATCACAACAAACTTAGTAAATTAAAGCACATATTAATAAGACCGGCAGATCAAAATAATTAGACGGTCACAATTAGCCTCGACGACAGAAGGTAATTCACTGCAGTGTGTCTCTAAATATCCTCATTGTTTTGGCGCGTCAAACCCCCAAAACGATTATTACCTTTTAAACGCTGATATATTAGTCGTATGAAGATCAAATGCACTGAGAATGAGTTCGGTACATTGCTCCGGCCACTGTACATAAAGCCTTTTTGTGGCCATTTGATAATAAATAAATATGAAATATAATTTCCCATAAGTAAGGCGCTAAATTTCTTGTGCTGAGTTACCAAACACACGTAACCAGGTAGTATATTATAGTGCTATAGGTTCAAATTTGTTATAATTCATCCTTAAACGCAAGTGCTCCCCTGTGCCAGACATGCCCCTGCAAAGTAGGGGCTATATATACCCCACGCTTACTTCTTACTGCATGTATACGCAAAAAATAGTGAACTTGTTTGACCTATGCATTCTTCGCATTCATGGCACAGCCCGCTTCTTACCCGAATTTGTCTAGTTGTAAGACAATGATTAGCGAACATTAGCAGTGGAAAAATGAAACGCCAAAATGAATGCACGACGTAGTATTGGTTACTACTTTTTTTCTTAAAACCTTTAAATGTTACTACCAATGGGTGGTAACGGCTAGGGTTCCTAACTGCTGGTAGTAACAGCAGAGGTACTAACTGTTACCACCCTCGCCATTACTAACTGCGCTTACTACCAGGGTTGTAACATATGTGACAAACCATTACTACCCCAAAGTTAGCAAGTACTACTACCTTTCAGAGGCAAAGCTCCTTATAGCGGCACCCGTTCGTCTCTCGTAGTCGTAGTAGTAGTCGTAGTGTGTGGCCAGTTTTAAATTTTGACCTCCAAGTTGGTGCCGGTGGGAGATTTCTTTTGTGCGTTGTTGAACAGTAAAAAATTTGCAGAGTGCGCGTTACCTAAAAGCTGAATTCTCCTGTCTCTCATTCCCCCTTAGACGCCATTGGCATGTACATTGAGCGCTATCTCACAAGAAAGGGTTGCTATGTTATACTCGCTGGGCGTAACCTCGTTGGTTTTAGAAAGGTTTAGCGAGCGTTGGGCCGCAGTGCCATCAATACAGTGAACTAGTATATACCATGAACTCGAAGTGGTTAAAGGTAGAAAGTAGACACGAAGCGCAAGCCGTAAGAAAGTGTGCGTGTGCCCCCTCTCGTTCAGTTCTTGGAATGTCCGCTGAATGGCGGTGCTTCTATATGAGGAATATATGATGAAAAGATGCGAGATGGTGGTACTTGGAGTGTTGAATAGGTGGACGAACAGACACACAGACAGATGCATGGACGGATGCAGTAGCGGATGCATGAACGAACGCAAGGACGAACGCAAGGACGAATGCACAGATGGACGTGCGGACGCACGGACAGACGCACGCACGGATGGGCGAGTGGACGCATGGGCGGCCACACAAACGCACGCATGGGCGGACGAAAGCAAGAACGAATGGACGGACGGATGCTTCACCCCACTCTCCATCATTCACTCCGTGGATATGCTGCCATTTTTTTTTTAGGGGCGAAGCTCCTTATGGCGTGGCTTGCGCGTTTCTCGTAATACGTAACCAACAGTGGCACATACCCGAAATAGGTATAACATTTGACCTCCGAGGTGGTGCCAGTGAGAGATTTTTCTGTGCGTTGTTTAACAATATAAAATAGTGCTCAATGTACATGCCAATGGCTGTTAATGGGGAACGAGAGACAGGAGCATTCGGCTTTTAGTCAACGCGCACGCTGCGATCCCCATTAGCAGCCATTGGCATGTACATTGAGCACTATCGGACAAGAAAGGGTTGCTACATTATACTCGCTGGGTGTAACCTCCTTAGTTTTAGAAAGGTTTAGCGAGCGTTGAGCCGCAGGGCCATGAATACAATGAACTAGTATATACCATGAATGAATTCGAGGTGGTTAAAGGTGGAAAGTAGATATGAAGCGCAATCCGTAAGAAAGTGTGCGTGTGCCACCTCTCGTTTAGTTCTTGGAATGTCCACTGAATGGCGGTGCTTCTATATGGGGAATATATGATGAAAAGATGCGAGATGGTGGGACATGGAGTGTTGAATAGATGGACGAATGGACACACAGACAGATGCATGGATGGACGCATGAACGGATGCAGGGGTGGATGCATGAACAGACGCATGGACGGTCACACAGACGGACGCATGGATAGACGAATGCTTCGCCCCACTCTCCATCATTCACTCCGTGGATATGCTGCCATTTTTTCTAATAGTGTACCTGCAAAAGAAAAGTGCAATAGAGTGGCTACTTGGGCTGGTTGGTAATTCATTTTGTCTTCTTCATAAAAACGTTCGCTGCGCACTAAAAAGGTGTAGTTCTTAAAAAAAGAAAACTTGATGATACGTGTGGTTTAACGTCCAAAAACCACCATATAATTATGAGAGACGCCATAGTGGAGGGCTTCGGAAATTTCGACTACCTGGAATTCTGTAACATGCACCGAAATCTGAGCGCATGGGCCTACATCATTTCGGCCTCCATCGGAAATGCAGCAGCCGCAGCCGAGATTCCATCCCGCGACCTGCGGATCAGCGGCCGAGTATCTTAGCCACTAGACCACCACGAAGAGAAGAAAAGAAAGAAAAGAGTCTGTATTTGGTCTAGGATAACATATGTTCTATAAATGATATTTTTTTCAAGTAGAGATAATGAGGCACTCCTACCTGTTTTACAGGCATCCGTAATCAGAGTTTTTCGTTATGTCGATGACTACATTGCTTTTTTTCCCCTTACGCTAACTGTAGATATGTCGACGGATACTCTAAAGTGTTTTGAGCAGTGTGTCTTGGCGTGAAGTTTACTTCTAAATACTTAAAGCACTAATGTATTCAATTTTCCGATCTACAGCTGCAGTTCATGACCATGCATGTGTGTTGGTGCTATGCCCCTAGGTCAGTGAAATCAGTGCTGAAATATAATCGGGCCATATAGAACTGGTAAAACATGACATTATAATCTTGTTTTGGCTCTGAAATGAATAAATTCTGCACTCTTCTTAGCGCAAACAAGTTTTTTTTTTGGGGGGGGGGGCAGGGCCAAAAACTGAGACACGCAGGCATCTCAGGGAATGTATTGTTAAATGTCTGTAGTTGAAGAGAAGAAAAAAAATGTCGTGGTGATGTTTGTAACTTGGATGCGAAGGCATAGCATAAGAAATTCGCTGTTCTTCCATTTGTTCACGGGTTTACCCACCGCTTAAAAAAGGTTGCGTCAAGATATGACGTCGAAGTAGTTATTTCTGCCAGAAACAAGTTATCCGCTTTATGTGCCAAAGCAGACCGACGAGTCGATTGATATGTGAGGTTTAACCTCCCAAAACTGCCATATGATAATGAGAGATGCCGTAGTGGAAGGCTCCGGAAATTTTGACCACCTGGGGTTCTTTAACGTGTACCCAAATTTGAGACAGACGAGTCCCGAATTACCAAATGTCCAACAAGATACATGCAATGTTGGTCATGTTGATAATTATGTATCCTGTACCACCGGTGTTGTCTACTCCATACCATTGTCATGCAATCGTCTATAGGTGAGCAAAATAACTTGCTATCTAAATGTTAGACTTCGAGAACATGTTGATTCCCTGAAAGGCCACTCCAGCCTTCATCTAGCAGCCCACTGAAAGAAATGCGGTGCGCTTCACCATTTAGTAATACTTCTGTGTTGTTCTGGCTGAGAACTAAAGAGCGCGTGAACCTATTAAGACTGCGCATATTCACATATTAACAAGAATTCCTAGTGTTGCGTCAGTGCTTCCTTTCTCGTTATACATGATAAAGAGTTAAGGTATCTTGGTCTTGTATGACGGGCGTGCTATGCTTGATGTGGCTAAAAATTTTGTTGAATTGGTTCCTCGTGCCTTTTTTCTCTCCTCCCCCTTTGCCATCTCTTGCTGTTTATCCTGCCTTTGGCATTGCCTCGTTCTTGCAATAAAGCCTCAGTTGATAGTCTGCGCTCTCTTTTGTGTTCCCGTCTCTTTTTTCGCGCACTTACTTTCATCCAGGTGGAATTCTGCGAAACTCTCGAATGACCATTGATTTGGTATGTGGGGTTTAACGTTTCAAAACCACTATACAATTATGAGAGACGTCATAGTGGAGGGCTCCGGAAATTTTGATTACCTGGGGTTTTTTTTACGTGCACCCAAATCTGAGAGCACGGGCCTACAGCACTTTCGCCTTTATCGAAAATGCAGCCACCGCAGCCGGGAATCGATCCCGTGACCTGCGAGTCAGCAGCCGAGTACCTTAGCCACTAGACCACCGCGGCGGGGCCTCGGATGAACATTAGTAAAAATTATTTTTCAAATGCACTTATTAACTGCCTGATATCAAATTTATCCACAGAAGCTTCAGTTTTGCTCAACGGTCAATGATGGCGCCACAGTGACCCTCAAGGTCAACCAGTGAACAGTATTTAATTTATTGAACGGGATGTCCTACAATTCACAAGCATGCATGCTGGTCCTTTGCAGGATGGAGAAAGCAGCGACTCCTCATCACTTAGGAGCTGCTGTTCAGCTGAGCTGCAGAAGGAAGAAAGCAGTGACTGTTCATTACTGGGGTGCTGCAGTCGCTGTTTCTGCTGCTGCTGCCGCTGCTGCTGCTGCTGGTGCTGCTGCTGCTGCTGCTGCTGCTGCTGCTGCTGCTGCTGCCAAAATGCCGACCAGGCGCAGCAGCACGCCATGGTAGTCATGCAATGCGTGCGGCTGCTGGGCAGTGGGCCATTGTTGCCTATGGGTACGCTGGTGACCGCTCTGTACCGGCACAGGAAATGGATCTGCGTGCAGACACCACACGGCGTGCGCGGATTCATACGCCACGAAAGCTGTGCCCCACTGGGCACCCTGCTCCCAGCCAACACAGGCCGCCGCCGGAGTGTCCGGAATGACAACCTGACGCGCAACCTTGAGCCGCACTGCGTCGCTGACAAGCAGTTTCTTGAGAAGGACGTCGATACATTCGTCCAGACCATCATCAATGCAGCGAGCGCGAGCAGTATTTGCTGACAATGAAAAGTACCGACGCCCTCCGAAGCCTCTTTGTTATGTCATTCTGGAGAACGCTGTTTGCCTTGCGCAGGGAGCATTGATGTGGCTCCGCTTTATGAAGCCACTTCGCTGACGACGAGCGACAAATACTTCTGTTTATCTCAATCTCGAAGTGCCGAATCTCATTTTGGTTTTCGTTTTATTTTGAAAAGCGCGGAACAAAATAGCAACATCTGGAAAAGAAGCTGGGTAAGCCAATGGTATCAGGCTTGTTTTTGTCATAGCCTCTTCTGAAAGCGCAAAAGACACAATACCACGCAAGAACTCACTCCACAGATGTGAGGAAACAACACTGAGCATGTAGATGTGACGAGAGACAAAAAAAAAAGACTCGCTCGTGAAAATGTTTGTCAAGAACATGTACTAGAAAAAGTACAGAATAGATATAATTACATCACCAATATCTTTAGCACATCTGCACCAAGCTCTCATACTCACTCTGCACATTAACAATTAGTTTAAACACATATAAAGTCGTCGGGTTCTGTCAGGTTTATTTATTAATTTCTTTATTATTTATTTATCTATTTATTTATTTATTCAAGTGCCTGCAGAACTCTCTGGGGCATTATTGTTGGGGGGTTTACAAACGAAAGGTACATAGAAGTAAGTGAAAACAAATTGCACGGTACAAAACAAAATAAGAACAAATCAAAATAGGTAAATCATAGCATACAATATATGCACAAATTGGGCGCTGGACATATTCGCTTTGTTATATGAAAAAAAATTTGGCAGATACCACGTCCCTGGGAATTGATTTTATGCGAAGCTTGCATAAAGAAGGCGACCGTGTTGCAATTTTTTTATTGAGCGACACGTCATGAAATGACGCCAAATATATCTAGAAATGTTGCACGCACAAGCATAAGTTGAAGGGTTTTAGATGTTCATATAACCAGTTGTTTGCACTTGCACTACGATGCTAACTGTAACACGAGTATTAGCAACGCCAGAAGCTGATATGAAGCGCTGATGCTCGCGAGGACGCTATCCCTGGACGCTGCTACATAAATCAACTTCAGCGCATAGTAACTAACCAGAATTGACGTTAACCTGACGTGACGGCTCTATCAAAGGGGTACATATGTAACGTTTATAAAGTTGAGTAGGCAGCGCTGCAACTACTATTGACGTTTCATGAAAATTATCGTCTACTTGAAAAGTAGTCCCGAGACCTGGCGTATCTCTGTGGTACAGTGCTTCATTGCCACGCAGAATGCTTGGGTTCGATTCCAGCTGGAGCCCTGACATTAATTTTTGTGCATTCGTCGGGTCGACGCTACCGATGTCGGGTATTTCTTAACGCTCGCGCGTTAAAATTGCCCATGCGTGTTGTCGTCGTTCCTGGGTAGATACTAAGTGTCAATCACCTGTGGCACATACCCGCATACCAGCGGCACATACCCACCCGTGAGTATGTGCCGCTTCCAGTGAAGCACTTCCCGCCGCTGTCAGGCGGGAAGTGTTTGATGTGTACGCAACGGGATTGTGACATTATTCATGTCCTGACCAGCGCGTCACATTCATCATACGATCTTACCCACATATGCTAAATTTGGTTCACGCCAAGAAAGGGGGTGACTGCGGGAGCACCCGCGCGTAATCAGATAGATAGATAGATAGATAGATAGATAGATAGATAGATAGATAGATAGATAGATAGATAGATAGATAGATAGATAGATAGATAGATAGATAGATAGATAGATAGATAGATAGATAGATAGATAGATAGATAGATAGATAGATAGATAGATAGATAGATAGATAGATAGATAGATAGATAGATAGATATGCTCAGTGTCGCCGAAGTTCGCTAAGAAATGCTTCGCATTAAAAAAACGTGAGCAATAGAGAGCAAAAATAGAAAGCGACTTTATGTGACAATATACTCCTTTCAATGTAAACGGAACACTGTGTCAGGGGTGGAAGACTATTTCATTCTGGTATAGTTTTAGGGGAGGGGGGAATTCCTTCCATAAGCTGTTGTTATATTCGCATACTTTCGAGGAAAGGTGTAGGTTGGTGGTTTGGTGCATTTACTTTTATCAATACTAGTTTTGTAATTTATTAGGCTGTAGAAAAGACAGCCTGATATGCCTTGATGACAGTGTAACGGCCATCCAAGTGAACTAAGACCTTCTGATGAAGTTTTAAACATCCGTCACAAACCGGGTGGCAATTTTCTGGATGCGCTCTAATGCATCAAATTTACTTTGTGGCCGGGTTTCAGGCAGTGCAAGCGTATTCTAAAATCACGTAAAAAAACTTGCTTAGGAACACAGGGGGCGGTTCTGAAATTGCATCGCAGAAAGCTCAACATGCGACTGGCTTCAACTGATACCCTGAAAACATGAACATTCCACGATAGTTAGCGGTTGATGACAACGCCAAGATACTTACATTCACTTAGAATAGATAGTGGTATCTTTTTCATGTAGTAATTTGTGAGAAGAAGTCACTTTTTTGAGGGGGGTGGGAAGTTAAACGTAATGACACTTCAGGGACCAAGTCAAGCTGCCTAGAGCAAGCCTTAGCCATCAAGACTATCCAGAATTTCTCTGGTAAAATAAAAACATTGACTTTGTGTATACGCTGCACTTTTCCATGTTCCATACTAATGCTGAAGATGACAAATGTGTTAAAAAATGACACAAAAAAAATGAAAGTGTCCGATTGTATTTCCACATGCGGCAGTACTGCTATTTTTTGAGTACTTGCATAAGTAAATGAATATCACAACCCACTAAAAGCGACGATCAATATGGTTTAGAATAGTTTACTGCGATTATCTCGTTAGCCCTACGAGTGCTCGACATAGAAAGTAATTTTGAAAACTCTGCTAAATAGACCATGATACTGTGCCATCGAAGCTCCTTCAAGGTAAGCGACGTCATTTTACACACCCGTTTGCTGCGAATTATTTAAATCCTTTCATATCTGCGAGTAAAGGGGCCAAGAACTGATATTTAGTGGCGAAGCTCTTGAAGCCGTAGGTCTGTCCCTCCTATAGCTTGTAGTACGTGACCGCCTAGTTCGATGACTCACTAAGCAGGGACAGACAGACAGACAGACAGACAGACAGACAGACAGACAGACAGACAGACAGACAGACAGACAGACAGACAGACAGACAGACAGACAGACAGACAGACGGACGGACGGACGGACGGACGGACGGACAGACAGACAGACAGACAGGCAGACAGACAGGCAGGCAGGCAGGCATGCAGGCAGGCGATTCACGGTTTACAGATAAAAACTGTGCGAAGCTTCGCCCACTCTTTATCATTCACTCCGTGGATATGCTGAAATTTTCTTTCGGCCTTTCGACCCAGCTTTCTCCGGCGCGACAAAAAAGCTTACCCTTCGTAATATTCGTAGGCTGCAGAGTTAATCCCCAAAGCATGTAGTTATTTTATAAGCGATAATTTTCGATCTGAACGGCTCTGAACACGGATGTTCTTTTCCATCCGCTGAGAATTGATAACCTTTTAAGGACGTTGTCGTTGTTCTGCTTTCGCAGGAGTTCGTTAACTATGCTTAATCGCGTGTATTGCGTAGCATGAACGCTCACCGGTGTTTTCCGTAGCTTCCTACCGCGCTTGGTTTGTCCGTTGGTTGGGTGTTGCTCATTGTCTTCGCGCAACCCACCACAGGGGAATGGACGGTACCTTATCATTGAAATAAAATTGTTTGACCGGCTGATTACGTTTAGATAGAGATGCTTTAACAAATAACAGATTGTTGAAACATAGATTAATAGAATAAATAAATGAAAGCAAAAAGAAAATTGTACAAACTAATATGGTTGGAAATAATGTGCATTTATGCATAATCTTAACAATCTATTCATTTTATTTTTCTTAGGAAATCAAATACGGCTTTTCAAACGTTCCTGTGACCAAAGCCCTTTTCAATGGCTCTAAAGGAAAAGACCACGGTAAAGATAAGTTTGAAGCCAAACTACGGAGAGGTTTTTGCAGAAGAATTTTTTTTTATTTGTAAATAACCTGTATGTTAAGATGAAATGATGCAGAGATTCACTCTCGTTGCACTGGAGGCATGAGGGAGACTCTGCCATGTGAGACCTGTGTAGGTAAAAGATCAGTGGGGAGGGGGTATCGACATTGTAGTCTTGTCATTGATGTGTCCAGCCGGAGCACCATCGATTATTTTAAGGGTACTTAAAATGAGAAAACTAAGGTGTTACCAAAAGATACTTTTCAAAATTATCTGATTTGACTTTTTTTTATTGTTCCACGGCGACAAATCCTAGCGCCGGCAAAAAAAAATTATAAAACCATTATCTGCGGCCACTACATCTGCATATTAAATTAGGGTTAAAAATTTATGCTCTAGTACCCATACCGAGCGAATGAGACGTAAATGTCTTGGGGCATAAAACACTCCTAAATCATTTGACACATTAGGTGCAGTGAATGAACTACGCACAGACAAGCAGTCTTCAAAAAAAAAATGGCCGCATATTCACGGAGTGAATGATGGAGAGTGGAGCGAAGCATCCGTCCGTCCATTCGTTCTTGCTTCCGTCCGTCCATGTGTGCGTCTGTGTGGCCACCCGTGCGTCCATCCGCCCGTCCGTGCGTGAGTCTTTTCGTGCGTCCACACGTCCATCTGTCCGTTCGTCCCTGCGTTCGTCCCTGCGTTCGTCCATGCATCCGCCCCTGTGTCCGTCCATGCGTTCATCCGTCCGTGCAGCCACCCGTGAGTCCGTCCATGCATCTGTCTGTGTGTCCGTTCATCCACCTATTCAACCCTCCAAGTACCACCATCTCGCATGTTTTCATCATATATTCCTCATATAGATGCACCGCCATCCAGTGGACATTCCAAGGACTGAACGAGAGGAGGCACACGCACACTTTCTTACGGCTTGCGCTTCGTGTCTACTTCCCACCTTTAACCACCTCGAGTTCATGGTATATACTAGTTCTCTGTATTCATGGCTCTGCGGCCCAACGCTCGCAAAACCTTTCTAA